CTCTCTCTCTCTCTCTCTCTCTCTCTCTCTCTCTCTCTCTCTCTCTCTCTCTCTCTCTCTCTCTCTCTCTCTCTCTCTCTCTCTCTCTCTCTCTCTGTGGGACCTCCTGTGTCGGTCAGAGAATCACACTGTCTAACAAGCAAGGAACTTAAATTCGGTCTAAGCAGTGTTCGAGCGCATCGCATAGAGGCCCAAAGGGCCCCTCGGGACCGACGATGAAATGTCCTATTGGAGGGCACGAATCAACCGTCTGTGGGTTATAAGAAGGACCCCGCAGGGGCGGGTCCACGAATACTAGTCAGAGAGTCTCTTAAACCGATTGAGAGCCCCTGGGACACTGAGCCCCTCTATTTCGGCCAGAGACCACCAGCGTCGAAAAGTAGGCTACGTGTCGGTCTAAGCCTGGGGTCCATTTCCCAAGCAGGAACAAGGCCAGAGTCCGCGACTTGCGTTGGTCAGAACCTCTGGAGCAATGAAGGTCCATGTGTCGGTCAGGTGTCCACAGTGCCTAACAAGGTTCTGTGTCGGCAAGGGGACCCGGGCCACCCAGGGAAGCATTTGCCGAGCAGGGACATGGACGGGACCCCGAATGCCAGAGGGGTCCCTGCGTTGGTCGGGTCCCTCTGACAATGAATGGATATACGAAAACTTATCACGGGTCCCTAATTAGACAATATAAAAGCTTTGTATCAGTCAGGGACCTCAGTAGGGAACGGAGGGCCCTCAAACCCAATTCCATCCAAGAGCCCTAGAAGCCGAACTGGAGTCTTTGTGTCAGTTATTGGACCACCTGCGGTGATAAGGCGTCTTGTGGCGTCAATGAAGGCTCTCGCGCCTAACCGGGGCCAAATGTCCGGTTCAGGGGGCCCCCGGCGTTCGGCAGGTGACCAATGTTTGATTGGTCTCTCTAATGGAGGGGGGGGGGATTATCACAGCGCCTATTGTTCGTAGCCACTAATGTATCATAACACCTGATGTTGGAAGCGTGAGAACACCCGTCGTAAAGTCATATTTCAGAAACTGTGTGTCGAAACCAATTCGAGCCGCTCGAAAATTATGGTGGGCGTAAATTTGATAAGCGTAATTTTGGGATCGTCCTCTGAGCAGGTAAACAGTGACAGCAACTCGAAACTAGAAATTCTTCCTCTACTTGGTCAAAGCTGTTGTTGCAATGTTTCACAACTTGATTTTAGTTCGGCTCGTGTGCTAAGCTTCCAGTTATACATTTCCAGTTATGCTTCCAGCATCGCCACTGCCATCTCTCGGCGAGTTGAAGTACTACACGTAAGTGCTGGGGTGGAAATTTTACACGGCTAGTTTGACAGCACCGCAACGTCATGCAAAGGTCCATGACTCAATCAAACGTTGACATGTTGAGAAGCGTATTTACTACACATATGTACTATATAAGGGTAGATATCAAGGCTACCCAGCCGCTGATTAAAATACATCTGGAAATTTTAGACCATTTGTACATATATATATATATATATATATATATATATATATATATATATATATATATATATATATATTTGTGTATGGATGATATATTTATACATATCGCATGTCTTGTATATATAAATGAACATATACAATATATACATATATATATATATATATATATATATATATATATATATATATATATATATATACATATGTATATATATAAACATGGGTGTCAATTTCTCAACAGGGGGAGGCAGAGTTGTGAAAGTCACCACAAGGAGACAGGTATGGAGAACTTGAATTTCCTTCGCATATGTTCTGGTTCCCCATTATACGCACACACCACAGGCGTAGAAACGTTTCAAAAGTGTGGGGGAGCGGCCGAGCTCAGGTTGTACTTTAGGAACTTTTTCTGGAAAACGAGCCCGATGACCGGGGGGGGGGGGGGGAAGCGATGGAGGTAGTTATCGCTCTTTATTCAAATGTCATGGCTGCTTTGCTAGATATGCATCTAGAGGCTGTTTCTCACTGGTGCACAATCTTGCCTATTCCACTGATCTGTCATTTGGCAAACAAGGCTATCCAGCTTCCCTTGATTATCTTCCATTTTAACATTGTCTTCCCTGGGGAGGCGAAATTCCACGAGCTGGTAGGCATTTTGGGTCATTGAGGAAGCACCTGTTTCCACAGTGTAGATGCCAAAATACGGCCTGGATGTAGGCTGGTGAGCTTTTGAAAGTGGATCGATCGGTCACAGTGTGACCGATTTTTAATGCGCCTTCATTTCGCTGACTTCTTTTCAAGAGATAGGACTTGTCACAGCATTTTGGGCGGAAACAAATTCGGGAGCTTGAAACTGCCAGAAATAGTGTGACAAAAGCCATAAAACTGGATATTCTCTTTTAAAAAAATCAAGCCACATACTAAGGCCCATCTGTCAAATGTTCCTCATCTGGGCCCCGTTCCTGTCGGTCGTCGGTGGCCACTGCCCTAGCCCGGATGTCCCCCGCATGACTGTCTGCGAACTGACTGTATGGCTGCTTTGATGCATACTTTTGGATCAGCGTTACTACTACATGGCGTATGAAACATTGGATGTAAACATGGTGTACAAACAAACAAACACAAACGAGACCCTGACACCAAACAAAACGGTCCCATTGGGTACGGATCACGGCTGCGCAAGCCAACGGGTCTATTGGCCACACTGGGACAGGTCCAGGGACGCAGAACGCTAGTGAGGGTATCGAAGCGTCACTTGGCCCCTGAGACAATGAACGAGCTGACTCAGGAGCCAGTTCCTGACTCTAACCTACTGGTGGAGCAACCAGTCACAGGTCCCTGGTAGTGGCAGGGAGCAGAGCACGCCGGTGCGGAAAAAGGAGCCAAACCTTGCAGATATGGCGAAAAAGCTCTGTCAGTGAGAGGGCTTAAGGTGCAGAATTCGGACCGACTCCCCGCACCATCACTACCAGGTCGTTCAAGTTATTTGCGTAAAAGGCACTTGCGTCAGAGGTTTCGTCGCGTACAAGTTTTTTCCGTCAGAAATTATTGTATTAGAAGTAATGCCGTGTATCAGTTTTGTGTTCTTAATTTTCTCGCGTGGAAGTTTTCGTAACAGAAGTTTTGTCCCGTGGAAGCTTATGAATTAAAAGTGGCTTTTAACGTGGTGTCACGTGGAAGGTTTTATGTAAGAAGTTTTGTCGCGTAGAAGTTTTCGTGTTGGGAGGTTTTGTCGCGTACGAGCTTATACGTGAGAAGCGCTTGCATTAAAAGCAATGTCGCGTGGTATTTTTGTGTTAGAGATTTCCTTGCGTAGAGGTAATGTCATGTAGAAGCAATGTCGCGGATAAGTATTTGCGTTAGAAGTTTCGTGGACGTAAGCCGTTAGCAGTAATTGCTATTGTTTGCATTGTCCGAAGGTCTGCCGTGAAGCCAGCCGAAGTCTAGTCATTCCGCACAGCCTGCGGCGGAGGGCAGTGATCTGGCTACATGACGGGCACCGGGGCATCGATCGCACGAAAGGGAGAGCTCGACAAACTGCCCACTGGCACGGCATCCACAAGGATGTGGATCATACGGTGTCGTCCTGCACCAGGTGCCGTCAGTATCCAGCAAGCAACTGGAGCCTCTGTGACAGAACGATGCCCTACCCAGCGTGGTATTTTTTATCAGTACTCGCCGACTACTTGCATGTGACCGGGAGCACTCACCTGGTATGTCTTGACAGAGTATGGCTGGCCTTGTGTCATCCCGTGCCCATGTAACACGGCATCACCGGTACACCTCACTCGCTCCTATGCACACATACTTACGTGGAGTAGTAAATCCATATATCTACGTTCCGTCGTGTTATGTATCGGTTTCGTCATCTCACGTGTTGCTTGCTCTGTCGTTCTGGAGGCACGTGCGTGATGGGATGCTTCGCGCCCGGTGGCCCGAGCTACGTACGCATCTGACTTGGCCCCCATTTTTATTTAATTTTTTGTTGTTGACTTTTCTGAGAGCCTTGAAGTTATTTAAAACTAGGGCATTGCAAAGCAGCAGTTAATTTATTTAATGCATGAAAAACTTGCTTTGCACCCTCACCCCGCGATGGACGCCCTATTTACCGTAGCAGATACCACATGAGTAACCACGAGAAAAAGGAGTCTGATGAAAAATTCACCGAAAAAGTCTATCGTTGTCGTGTGGCGACGTGGATCGGCCTTCGTCTCTGGAACTCCCTTGTATCACCTGAACTACCCATAACAGAGGCTATTGAGGACACAAAAAGCTGCATAAAGAGACCCACAGAAAAACATCTTCTTGACAGGTACAATTCTTGGTGATGCATTTGACAGACCATGCGGCTGTCTGTGCGTGTGTATGTTTGTGTATGTGTATGCGCGTGTGCGCCTGCGCGAGTGTTTGCGTGTGTGCCTAGCTCCACTATGACTGTACGTTTTCATCCCGTAAATGGCGGCTCTGTCTTCCGATCGCCCACCTGCATCAAGCTTGCTTGGTCTGGTGCGTGACCGAAGGTGAAGCCTTGGACATACATCCCTCGGAGCAGACGTTTGCCCTTCCCAGCCTGCGTGAATGTTATTACACTAATATCGCGCGAGTGTTACTTTCTCGGGCGGGCATTAGCAGCCAGTCGTATGCTGCCTTTGGCTACGACTACTATTTTGCCTCTCTTGCTTACTTCTGCTAATGACGTAACGCGTATAACATGATAATAAAAATGACATGTTTTATAACATCGTTCTTTTAGTTGCGCTTTTGCTTACACCTCTGAGCAGGAGTGCCGCGATCTGCGTCCATTATTTTTGGCGTTAACGTAAGGTTCAGTGTGCCGCCGGGATTGTGGGAGGGGCACTCCTGGTCGCCCGTTAATGCGTGACGGCTAGAATAAGCCCCGAGCTGACAACCACGTAACTGCCCGGGGGTCGGGCAGCAACCGGCCTGGGGAATACGCATTCTTACCAGGACCCCCGGCATGTGAATCGGGGAAGCGGCTGTCGGGGCAGTCGCTACCGGAGCGGCAGCAGTTGAGAGATTTTTGCTCGTTTTTTTTCATCCACGTTTTTCGTTTCTATTCATGACGTTTGACCAGACCGCATGTCATCATATTGTCATCGCGTGGTCACTGCCAGGATAAATATATTGGTGAAGGATTCCGCGCAACTGTCTGGTAGTTTCGCACGGCGTTCGCCTCGCAAACTTCGAAACCGTGGCTCTAGCCTCGTTTTCACTTATACAGTCTGGGGTTCAGTAAATGTCTAAGAGTACTTATAATTATTATATTCATAAGCCCCTCGTATATCTTCGTCTTCTTTTTTATTTGAAACACTTCGTTATTCCTCAGTTACACCAGTATAATTGGAAGCACCTCGATGATCGGACTCCTGCCCGCACGTTGTGTTAAATGCAGTAAGTAGCATAAAAAGTCACATTCAATGACATCCGATGAATAGAAAACACTGGCGCACAAATTATGATGATTATGCATGGGCACCCTGTCACCTGCCACGTAACACGAAGCGCAGACAGGCTGTATCTCATGCTACCGGAGACTGTGCAAGAGACCTCCGAATATATTCGGCGCGTCTCGCAAAGTACCGGTTCTGTTAGGGAGCAGTACTCACGCGAGAAACCGGGCAGCTTGTCGGCCACGAATAAAGCAGCGACTGACCGGCCGGCGATTTGCGCCCGCAACACCTTTCCACAAGGCTAAACGACAACGGAAACACGCGCACAGACGTCGCGGCGGTATGCAGCAAACCAATGCCAATAAGCCTAAGCCGTAACTGCTTGATCGAATCAGCAGTTCACACATCACTCGTATGCTCTAATCAAAGGCTATTCAAAGGTGAGCAATGTCGCGCGGAGAACGTGTCGCGCGTCGCGAGAACTAAACTTTCCAACAGCGTGACCCATGGTCACAAAATGCCTTTCTCAATACCACGGCGGATCAGGCCGCAATCCCATGCCGTCAAGACAAGGCGGCGGATCTAGAACCACCGCTGTGCCGTTCCTCTGTGTCAGACCTACACGCGGCATTACCTGGACTGGCACGACGGCTCTCTCTTCTTGAAAGTAAAGCGACCCGTGGTGCGGTCAATCATCTGCGGCTGCAGGCTTAGCAAAGGCTGATTTCTACCATTCCCCAGCTGGATGGGATTATTCGTGAGGACATTGTGCACGTCTTTGATGCAGCAGGTGATCTCCTCAAGGTGGCCGCGCGCTCTCAGCACCTGGCACAGTCGGATAATGTAGAAGGAGCCTCGGTGTGTGTCACGGTATGCCTTGAACCCGGGGGTGGTCGCCTGGCAGAAGAGGAAATCTGACAGCGGTGTGGTGCGGGATGCTGGCGCAGGCGTGGGGATGTATGACGACATAGGCACATCTTCTGGCCCGTCCGAACTCACCACAGGTAGCGCTTTGATACCTTGACAGGCCTGCGTCACCACAATCTTCAGCTTGCCGGCCAGAGCTCCGCACAGGTCGGCGCCGAAACAGCTGACCAGATCGTCCAGAAGTTGAGTCTTGCAGTCGGAGCTGTAGATGAAGTGCTCTCCTTCACGGCTCGTGCCTCCATGAGACAGAAAGCACGTCACCAGGTAGTCGAAGTTTTTCAGGTCGTTGGCGCATGACAACCTTTCCAGGCATGTCCTAATTTCAGTCTCTTTCAAGTTGTTGAATATCTTTGTCCGGCACCCGAACTCTTGAAATGTCTTTTCCAAGTTTTCCGCATCAATACTGGAGCCCAGACGCATTCCATGATTGTCCGTTCGTCCCAGGACGCATTCCTTGTCTTGGCATGCAAACCGCTCCTGATTGAAGATCACACACACTCCTTTGGAGTTGGCATATATCTTGGGAGGCAGCGCATCACCAATCGAGGACAAGTCCACCACTTTGCTGTGGTTGCCACTGCTAGGGGCGGTGCTTGTGATCGCTGACTCCGCAGTCTCCCTAGACAGCACATCTTTCAGATCGTGCCGACTGAGGTGCACTAGTCCCTCCGCCAGAACAGACAGGTCAGTAAGATCGATGACCCGTTCCTGCATCCAGTACAGGATGTACAGCTCCAACAGCTGCTTGATGGTGCAGCCGTCCGGAAAGATAGGCGACTGCCGGCCCGGAAGATATGAACGAGAAATGTATTCCACCAACCGTTTGACATCTTCCTGCAGAAGATGGCAGCAGACGGTATTCAAAGCAACCTGGAACACACTCGTGTCAAAACCGCTTGCCTGTCCTGAAAATTGGAGCAGCACATGACTTATTACGAATCGGATCACGTCTTCCGTCATCGGCCAGTAGCGACACATTGCGGTGATCGTAAATAAACATGTGACGATTGGAAAGGTATTCATACCTTAGTTTTGAGACAAGCGCCATGGTCGTCGGTCGCATGAATGGAGGGTGCAAATTGTAAGTAATGTGTTGGTCAGCATGGTAGCAGCATACCTTCAGTGATGAGAGATAGACTGGCTTTTGCAGTTTTCTCATCTGCTCTTTCTCCAGGCCAAGGGTTTCGAGCACGTCCAGACGGCCAATCACAGCCAGAGCCTCCAAAAACATGCACTTCCATACATTGCTAACCGAACTCCTGGCCCAATTTGAAAATGTGTCAACCATTGCCTTGCCACCAGTTTCGCGGTTCATCCTGACGACACATTTTTGCAACACGATGGCAGGCAGATCATCCACAGCCAAAAATAGGAGACGGACCACGTCTTCTGGTAGGAGATCTTTTTCAATGTCAGGCAGATCATCCACATCAATGGCATTGTGACACATGTCTTCTCTCGTCAATGTCGATTCAAAGGAAACGGCATCTGACGTGACTGGCGCAGATTCCGGCGCTGAGTCGACCAGCAGCCAACCGCCCTCTTCAGAGACAACGTCGGTGAGGTAGAACACCTCATCAACCTTAAAGTCAGCACCATCAGCCATCATCGGGCAAGACGCACCTGAAACAGAAACAAGTGAAAGTCCTAGCCACCAAAACCAATCCAGGAAGTATGTGGTAACTGATTGAGGGCTATCTGTTGTAATGGAGCAGGGCCGGGGTCATGAAGAACCTTCGCGTCCTGTTACAAAGGAAAGGGAATAAGCCGCATTGCTATGTAACATATTGGATTAACAAACCATTTCGTGGGTGCAAACGAAAATCACAACTTGTCCCCAACCTACTGAAAGAGCCCAAACCCGAATACCATGCCAATATTCCCACAATGCAGTCATACACGCATGCACCCACAACAGTAATCATGCACTGATGGTGGTGCAATATTCAGTCACTTGCGTCAAGACATCAATGCTCGTCCATGTCACCGCAGTCCACGACTCTGGCTGGGGTTCACTGCCTGTTGTTCTTACCCTCGCTCAAAATCGCCTCAAGACAGAGTCAGATTGCGGTCAAACCAGTATCGAAACGCCCCGGGCTCCGCAATCGGGTGCGCAGGGCGGAATTTCTGATCGGGCCCCAAAGGCAGCGGATAAGCAGCCCACGAACTGTGGTTGCGGAGGCGGCCAAGGGTCAAACATTCTGGTAGCACAAAATCATACTTCAATCTTTCACACAAATGCCCAATTTTCGTAGCATTGCTCACAGGGCGCAGGGCTGACAGAGACCTGATGGCGCCTGGCCAGCACAGAGGTTTGCTGGCAGGCAAAAAATGGTGTGCTTAAAATGCAACCTCTTGAGTTGTATTGTTATGAACCCACCCTCGGAACTTTCCTTTTAAGGGAGCTCACGATGAAATGCGGTGTTATAACCGAAAACCTGCGCGGAAATTGCAAGAAAACCTGCAATTTGATATTCCCTCGGGTTGTGCGAGTGTGGGATCACATTTATTTCACATTACAGTGTGAATCAGGCGCTTGAAGTGGGTGTGATCACTGGTGGAGCGTGCCAGTGGCTCGTATTGATCTTTATGTAATTGGCAGTGTGCGTGCGAGGTTTGTGCTTCTGGAAGAGGACACTGTTTTCGCATTCTTTAAATCTAATAACGCCCAATAAAAAGTTATATATTGATACCTGCCTCTATCTTTAGGTTTGTGTTTGAACAGGAAAAGGTAGTGACGTCGGCAAACCGAAAGAATACTAGCACCCATGCTGCTGGGGCGTTCAAAGGCAATTTGCCACTTCATTATTATCATGCCAGCATTTTGAACCCATTGAGGTATAACAGTATGTAATTAATCCGTTGAACACCATCACATTGGCAATTCACTTAGGCAGTAGGGACGGGTCAGCGCAGCTCATTAATGTGCATGCTTGGTATAAGTTCGCATGATACGGCCTTGCAAAACTGTCTTTCACTTAAGAATTCTGAAAATATAGTGTTGTATTAGTATAGATGCACATATGACTGTCTCAACAAATTTGGTATGCAGGCAAGCATTGCTTATGAGTCATCACTGTCATAGTCAGTGCAGTCACTGCCACTTGTGTGAGAAGCTGGGTGCTGAGAAAGATGCATAAGTATTGCTGTTGGTTTCTTGGATAGCACTTAATATTTTTTATCATGAGCCCTGTGTGCACCAGCAGCTTCATCACTTCCTTGCATATCGTACATCCAGCCATAACTACGTGCACTTGCCATGTCTCCAGCGTTGTGCAAGGTCAGCAGGTTTGCAGTGTCATTCCACCATATGTAATCTTTCCTTGTGATGCGTGTGTTATCACCAGTGTGAACAATATTTTTTAGTCAGGCAGTCTGATGGCCGAGCATGCTGCATGGCTGTGGAAGCAGAAGACGTGTTTGCATCTATGTCAAATATGTTTTGTGGATTCCAAAACAGGCTGAGCAAGTGACATCACTCATTGGCTGTGTGCTTTGCTGAAAGTGATTTGCATCTTGCATTACGTGTTTTTAGTCAGCCATATGTCAGATGCGGAGTTAATACACGAATGCATGCCTGACCCATCTTCACATGATTGAATCTATTATGACAGCAGCAGGGATTGCAGTACAAAAACAGCATCACTGTTCGTTATGTCATGCCACAGTACAGCACCGAGGTAGTGTCATGATGTGCGCCACGGAAATAGTGCACGCTGTCGCCCCGTGCCATTACATAATGTACCACATTGGTTGACCTTTCTACGTCAAGCCAAGGAGATAACGGCTTTTAATTTAAGAATGATATAACAACTGATTTAACAACGCCAAAAGACTACCACGCCTATGAGATAACAGCTTATAATTTATGAATGGCGTAACAACTAATTTAACAACGCCAAAGGGCTATCACCAGCGAGAATGCTGTTCCACCACAATGGTTATATCAGGCTTACCCAGCAACTGCATACATAATCTTGCACAATAAAAAACATTCTGGTAGCTCAACAATACCATCTATACCATAGAAATTACAACGCTTTGGTAATCAATTCATAGCAATGCTATATAGTTATTAATTTTTGAATGCAACTACATTTCCAGTCACAAACAATGAAGAAAGTAACCACTGCGCACATCACATGATATCAATGTCAGGACTAGAGCACTGCAGGCGAGGGTAAGTCGACAATACAATATTGACATCCTTAGCAGTACTTGGCAGGTTTCGGTAAGAGATTTATGACGCCATGTGAGTCCTCAGAGCATATCGTGCTTTGGTATTAATAATTGCCATAAAAGCTGGCGATCGCTACGTTGCGTGTGTCAAACAGCCCACCAAGCTTCCGCTACGACCAGCACCAAGACAAAACATCCACAAACAAGCCATTCACCAACCTGCCAACCAACACAGCGCCCGCGACGGGAATGGCAGGTTGGCGTCAGCTTTCGTGAGTTTCGAGGCATTCTTTAGGTCTGGCTGCCAGATGCTGCCAGGTATTGCTGTCGTCAAAAACCATTCCATGACGCCATCAAACAATGACACAATGGGACGCACTTTAAAAAAAAACAATTTGGAAATTTTGCTACCTAGGGTCATTTTTGAACTTTGAAAGCTTACCAATAGTTACAAGGAAGCTTTACCCATAATATGTGATGCTCATCACAAAATCTTCAAATGTGAGACATGCCCTTAAGTAAATATGCCCCACAATGCGTCATGGTTTGATTACGTCATCGTACCTAGCACAACACTGATTGAGGGTTTAATTGACAGCCGTTATATCTGGAAATCGCTATCACGAACACCAGATGTGAACGCCTCGATAATCATATTTTCTTCGACTAGATCTAAGCGTGGTTTATAGAATGACAGGATTTAAATGACGTTATTGTGACATCATGAATGCCAACATGACTTTAAAATACTCTTCCCGATGTGCCTTTCCCCATTTTCGCCGGCGTGCAGCTCAAAAGCTAGACGGGCTTAGGTCTTAAGACGGAGAGGATTGCGAACAGCACCGAAAGGTCTTAAGCTATTTTAGTTCAGAACTAGTTTAACTATTTAAGTTCAAAATAAATGTGGAACGCTCCCCTTGAAGGGAATGTTACACATTTGAAAACATTGAAACAGGCATCAGATGTGATAAAATAAGCTCACCTATAGCTATTGGTATACGTTTAAGCGGAATAGCCAGCGCTAGATAAAATTTCTCTAAGGAGTACATATTCTCCTCAATACGTCGCTTGGATGACATTGTGGTGCTACCAAATAAGCTGTGCGAAATTGCCAACCTAGAGCCTTGTATTACTTCAAACTCGCCGAGAGATGGCGTTGGCTGTGCTGGGAGTGTTTGCGGAGTCAAATTTCGCTATTTGTTCATGTTTTGGAATTTCTCGTGGTGTTCTTGCATATTCATCGATCAGTTTAAGACGTTCACTTGTATTCACATGCTCGGTTATGGCGCTTTTCCCAAGTTTGTCGATTACAAGGCTGATTTCCATGCCGTTTAACATGCACGCCCAGTTTCTTATACTATGAAGGAACAACAGGAATTCGTGCGGCAGGTGGGGCCGCTGAGCACAAAATTGATACGCGCGGTGGATACTGTGCGCGCGACGACAAGGCTGAAATGACGTTGCCGTGATTAAACATTAAATTAAATTAAATCGTAAATAATTAAATTAAATTAAATTAAATTAAATCGTCATTAAACACATCACGACAACGTCATTTCGGCCTTGTCGTCGCGCGTACTCATTGGTATTGGAAAGGATTGGGTTGTTCGTGGATGTGCAGCTCGGGAAATGGGCGGCTGCAGCTCTCGGGGAAAGGTGGACCGTCTCCGAGATAACTGTATCAGTTCAGCACCCAACACAAATGTGAAACGGTCTTAAGCCGCCAGTCGTGTTGATATAAAGACCACCAAAAAACGTTTGAAGACGTGGCAGGAAAAATAAGACTCGTGTGCATTATTTCGCACCTCGGGGATCTTGGGGAAGGATAAATGACCTGTTCGTGACAAAACAGGGTACGTGGTATGAAGAGTCAAACTTGAAGTGTCAAAGTGCATACATAGCCTGTGGAACCAATGAGTTTAAAAATTCAAAAAATGGGGTTATATTGGCTATGACATGTAAATCACAAAATGCTACTCACAATACATTCAAAGTCACCACTCCCAACTCAGCATTTAACTATCTTAAAAGCATGAATGTAATCACAGCCAAAATATTCCACATCAACTTTGCTGTTTTGGTGCCATTTGATATGGCCAAAACACAACATAGTCAGATTTTCTGAAAAAGTCAATGGGTTCAAGACTCAGGACTACAATGGTGTCAAGTCAACTGATGGAGAGAAGCTGCCTACCACATAGGTAGCTGCTGACCTGTTGTTGTTATTGGGGCTTGACAATGCAGCCAGCTGCTGCAGCCATATGGCATTGCCTGCCTCTCACTCTGGCAGGAGGGGTGGGCACCATGGGGAGTCAAATCCTGTACCTCCAGTTTCCCAGATGTGCAGTGGTTAGCACAGACATGTGAACCACCACACTAGTGGCACCCCTGCTGACAAATTGTGAAATCCACACACAGCAATGAAAAATGCATGTTAGTTCAGTAGAGAGACAGAAGTAGACCAATACAAATCAAAGGAGTTCATACACATGAAAACATGATTAAGAATAAAACAATGCCACATGAGCACATTACAAAAAGGTTAGACCACTTTACAACATCCAATGTGCAAACTGAGGCAGAGATCTGACAAAATGGTTCATAAGTGTGTTCCACATCTGTACAGGGCTTTGAACTGAAATGCAAATTGAAGGTCTTGAAGCTCATTTTGTGAAGTTTGCAGTCCCCTGGCATAGATGCTCAGACTATTGTACAGAATATTCCATGGTTACCCAGGTATCCATGACACCAATATATCACTAATATTGTGCCATTCCACTGGGCATGTAAAATGTATGATCAAGATAAATAGATTGTTGAGCTGTTTATATCTAGCATTCATGGGCATGATGACCAAATATAACTGGGCCCCACTTCCAGATATAAGGGCAGGTTGTTGGTTTTTGACTTATGTCCTGCAAGCTATGCAATGTTTGAACACAAACTTTGTGCTGTACCACACAATACAAGATGGTACAATGTTTCTTAGTTATGATGGAAATAAAACTTGCAATTGAACAACTCTAGAGCAACACTATAACCAAGTATGTGAATACAAGTAAGCACCATAAACTCATGGACAAATAAGCAAGAACACAAAGAGAAAAAGGGCCACAATACACACTTTGCACCATCAGGTTCAGCTGAGATCTAGTGCAGCCATCAGTGTAGTGCAAGTGAGTGATACCATGTTAACATTCCATGACACCATTATACAATTACATATTGATGAACATAATTGCTCAATGGAGATATTTTTGTTCTCTAGAGCAGTGTTTTCCAGTTCAATAAATACCAAGACTTATGAGCTTATTTAATCATATATGATACCTGTTTCAATATCAATATCAATCAATATGAATTGAGTGTAATTGACAGAAAAAATGTGATCATAAATCTTAGTAGGCATCACTTATGATTACTGTTGTCACTGCTTGTGCTGTATGCTGAACTGCTTGTCAAATAGCCAACATAGCCACAAATGTACAATGGATGTATTCAATGCCATTGGGGGGGGGGGGGGGGAGAACCATGGGATAACTCTTGCCTGGGCTACCCTGTTTTCCAACAAGTTCCTTCCTATTGCAGTCCAATGCTCTTTATACAAATCCAGGTGCAATCATGTGAAAACCTTCTCAAACATTTGCAGCCTAGCCTGGTATATGAAGGAGTTAGCATGACAAAAGCATTACATACCTACAGAATAATATTTGGTATAAAATGAACATGATGCTCCTAGTAATGTATGTAAGAACCTAGTATGCAAATAATTAACATTTAAAAAATGCAATTGACCCAGTATCCTTTCTTTTCCCATATGTGTTAGGGGGGCTCAAGAGTATTATTGGGGGAATCTGAAGTCAGGATTGGGTTGGGGGAAACCAGGCCCCCATGAGTACAGAGAGTGATGCCCCTACCACTGCCCCCATGAAATTTTGTAAAAACCAACCGCAGTTGGCATTGATGTTGTGTGGACAAATAACAGATAGCAGAGTTGCGTTGTCTTGCCATCCTTATACGAATGACGCCTAGACAAGACATCAATCACACCCTTTCACAGCTAATCCAGCAAATTTGACCAATGAACTGGACCGTCTTCTTAGTATGACAATTTAGGTAGAAGCCAGAAGCTGATGCAACATTCAAGCGATAAATCACGAGCAACGTTGCAGGAAACTTAGCATATTCAAGGCGCACCTTTCCTCCCAATGAGACTTCTCACCTTGGACCACAGCCGGGACAGGAACATGAACAAGAATACAACACGGGCGCGCGTCCACTCACAACCCTTCTGTCTCACGCCAACAGTACGCGCACGAGGCTTAAACGCAACCTACGCGATGCCCCCACCCCCTGCCGTCGCCCTTCTCCTCTAAGGCCTCGGTCGCCCTTACCACCGCCTCCCGTCTCGCGACTGGGGCGCGTCGCTCCTCCGCCGCACGGGATTACCCGCAATGTACTCTGACCCGTGTTGTGGTGCGCATTGTCGTAATGTAACTGAAGTTAGCCCACATTCAGCCCAGATTCAGCCCAACCCGAATTTGGCAGCACAAAAGTAGATAATTCCCTTTGCAGGCCAATAACTCCCTTCAGGCGCCGATATCCCGCACCGACAAACCAGACCTTGAGAAACATCTTTGGTCTAACCAAAACGGTGCATAGAAAATCTGCCTATTTTGTCTAGGGGGAAAGCCACGTACACGACCAAAGAAGACATGTTTATGGGGCGGTCCTACGGTTTTTTTTCAAAAGTGCCTTACCGAAATATATACCGGTGCTCATCAACTTGGCTGGAGGAACCCTACCGGACATTGATATCTAAGTGTTCATAGCCCGTTAAGAAAAATTAATAACGAGATTTTTATTTGGTCGCTGAAAAATATATGCCCTTTCGCACATGATGTGAGAGCATTCGTCAGCCCAGTTACATAAGCACAAACATAAATTGCATATCTTGTCTCGTGGAAAGGTTATACACGATCGAAAAAGCATGTCTTAGGTCTCCTGCTACCATTTTAACTTTCGAGTAACAAACATCTTACCTATCATGAATGTAATTGGTCCCTGGGGTTAATGCCGTAATGTGGCAATGTAACCTAAAAAACTGGCCTCCCTGGTGTAGACTAGTATTTTAAATTGTTAGAGAACTGCTGATGCGTAGGCTGGTGCTGTTTCTTGAGATCCCGTGAATAATTTACACCGAGGTAGTGAAAATTGATAATATATGGTTGATTTTTCGATTAAGGAACAATACAATCCGTACAGAATGGCTTCTGTATTCCTCGATGTCCCGCACGTGACTGCCAGACGCATGTGGCCGCCTTTGGGTGTCTTAGCGTCTCGGATCGCAAGCTGGCTTATTCTGCGCTGGCCTCATGCAAGACCGGCGTTAACTATCCTGACCCCCGGCGCCATGATCTGAGGTGGACGATATCACAGAGCGTTATGTCACGATACCACATCCCCCGTGCCGGCCAAGCCAAGTTATGCCCACGTACGGCTGCCTCACACTCGCTATGCATACACACGTTTCACACCGGCCCACTTCCCCCGAGCCGAGGACATGAGACGAGAGACGGAGGTGTCGGCCCGGACGAACGTCACGGGCGTCACGCAAGAAGGCATAGGCGGCGAACAATACGGACGCACACATGAGGTCGGTGAACACACGCGATGCGTAAAACGGGAGACTGGGGTCGAGCTGGAGACGGGTGGTGCGGTCGAGAAGGTACGAGCGCCTCTCGCTGTGGCGGAGGGCTGGGAACGCGGCGGCGAGGCGGGGATTGGGAATGATTATCTGTCAGCTCATCTGCAAACTCGGCCCGGCGTGACGGCCGCGGAAGAGCGGGGTGAGGGGTTGACGTGGACGGCCGCCGCGGCTGCGCGGTCGGTATGGCGCACACAGACATCAACGTAGGGAACGAGCGCAGGGAGCGGCGGTTGCGCCGATGGGTGCGGCCAATGGTGAGCTCCGCGAGAAGGTCACGCGAGTGACCTACACCCACGACCGTGCTTCGTCGGTGCGTTAACCCAGCCGACGGATCCTGAAGGGACACATGAGCCCCAGCACGCGGACGGGACGGGCCGACCGTTCGATCACAGCGGACACGGGCGGCCTCGCGCTGTGAGGCGACGCTGGCATCACAGCCATCGGCGACACGCTGCCATTCAGGTGCGAATGTACCCTGCTGGGAACCGCCGAGCGTAAAAGATGGCCATGCAGAACATCGGCTGGTGGCCGGTGGTCGGCCCGCGGCGCGCTGTGGATCTCGAGCAATCCGCGGGCGAGCGCGTCACAGTCCAGGTCATCCAACGCAGTCACTCCACAGAGGCTCCACTAGCCTCTTGATCAATTCGACGGCTACCTCGGCGTGGCTGTTCGACGGGGGTACGAGGGGCGAGCAAGCGACGCGTAATACCAAAACGTTGCAGGAAGTCTCTGGCGTGTTGGACAGTGTGTTGCGGTCCGCCATCGCTCCAGAGCACGCAGGGGATGCGTGACGCTGTGGACACTGTCGCAGATGGCGGACCAGAGTCAGGGCTGGTTGGCATCACGTCTGCAGTGTACGACAGCGTGCCGCTCGGATAGTCGGTCGACGCGCAACCGTCTGGCCTGCATGGCTGAAGAGGTCCGTGGAGACGGATTCGGGAGGCTGTGAGGGATGTTCAGACGGGTGCCGCACACCAAGATGCCTTCGCCAACAGTGAGGTGATGGCGCTTCGCCCCAGTACGGCCCCAGCACGACCCCATGTCCAGACGGGTGCCGCACACCAGGATGCCGTCGTCAACAGTGAGGTGATGGCCGCTCGCCCCAAGTACGGCCCCAGCACGACCCCATGTCCAGACGGGTTGCCGCACACCAGGATGCCGTCGTCAACAGTGAGGTGATCGCGTTCGCCCCAGTGCGGACCCCGCACGGCACCAGCATGGCCACAGTAAGGCAAGCAGATCTGACCGGCGATCGGGGGAAGCCGCTCAGCACGGTCTCGCACAGGGTCGTGTACTTGGCGTCGGCACGTGCGGCCTCGCGGACGCGAGTCAGAGTGATGTATGATGGGAGACACTCGGGATCCATCTGGACCCAGCTGGGTCACTGCGCTTGACGAAACTATGGTGCTGATGGGTAACGTCTTCTTGGACGATCTCGTCGTCCGGAGAGAGGGGATTCAGTCACTCAGGGGGCTCTGGAGGGCGTCTAGGATCCGGCGTTTGCCTTTGCTGTGTGTTTGTTTGCTGGAGAACGTGTCGGAGAGAACGTGCCGGAGACAAGATAGGCAATTGTTTGAACGATAAGCCTGAATAAGATAGGTAATTTGTACTTCCGCTTCTGAATTTGGGTTGACAAATATTTTCACATGATATGTATCTCGACTTATATTTGTTGGTAAGGAAGTGAACAATGTCATTGTCTTTTTGTTCTTAAGGATTTTGGCCCGTCAGATATTAATGACCTATTGGGTTTCTTCAGCCAGATTGATGAGCATCGGTCTATGGTTCGATGAGACAATTTTGAAGAAAACCGCAGGGGCCGCCCCATAAACACGCTTTCTTCGATCGTGTTTGACTTACCCTAGAAAAATAGGAAGATTCCCTGTACACCGTCTTCGTTGGATTAAAGAGGGCCCTCACGTACTAGTACGCCTGTGCATGACTTCAGCGTCTGTATGGGGACATTGGCCGGTAAAGGGAACTCTACATTTGTGCTGCATAATGGGCTGGGCTGAATGTGGGCTGAATGTGGGCAAACCTCCGCTATACGGGAAACATGGATGTCCGTGAAGTTGGTGATTTATTTCGTGCTTTATTCAAGAAAGCATGCATATCGATTCATGAGTACATTTACTAAAAGCGGCCCTCCTGTGTAAATCACGTGAGATCCCACTCGATAACTCCACATAGCCCAAAAATCCCTGATGCAGAAAGCCCTCTGACCCGGGAAGTTGACCCTGATCGACACAGGGGCTCTCATCGACGCTTTAACACGCGCCCGGGTGGCCGGCTAGATACCCTTCGTTCGGGTGGGGGAGGGATCAATTTGACCCTTCTGAGACCTCGCCAACTAAGAAAGCTAGAGACACCGAGTTTGCAGAGTGTGTTGACCTGTGCGTAAATTCACTTAGGTCAAAGTTTCAGGTTCCTAGGTCATGGTCTTTGGGTCAAAAAAGGTCAGACAAGGTCAAGTTTCAGGTCGGTCTCCAAAATGCCCCCCAGAACCAAGATAGCCGTTTCTAAGCAAAAGATCACATGCTCATTGAAGGTCAGTGACCTTGTTTAACGTTTTGAAGGTCAAGGTGACCAAAATCATACAAGGTTGTTTTGAGTTTTGCATTTGACTAAGCCACAAAGATTACGCTAGGTGGTATATTCCTAAACAAAATGCTGACCTGGGTCATTTCAGGTCAATGGCCTATCCTGACCTCTAAGAAGCCCATGGAAGATGTATAATGCGGTTTCTGCCATCAAAAATGTTCGAAAGAAGCCCCAGAAATTATTCCATACAGCAAGCCCAAGAGTAACAGAATAGGTTGGTTTTGACATTGGTATGACCTTCATACCTGACCTTAGGTCAGTGTTATTTGCTCATTTAACTGTTGTGTTGCCTAAGAACGCATCTCACAGATGTGTGGCTTCGTCTAACACTCCGTTGTTGGATCAGATTGAAGGATTCCCTAGAAATTGCGTTCGCCGAAACCATGGCGTAGTTAAAAACACGCAGCACGCAGAAAAAAACGGAAAAAGTCAAGTAAACATGGCATAACCGCAGAGCTTTAAAAGTGTAACTAAGTCAGTCAGGTGTACTGATCTGGTCATAATGCTGCAATTTTCATTTTCTTTAATCCGTCTGCCTGTGAAACAATGAGTAAAACCTTTCTTAAATTTGATATAATTTCGAACGTCTATTTGTCATGTCATTTATGTACTTGGGCTCTAGAAAGTTGGGGGACCGGACTCGTCGTTGTGGTGGCCAGACTGGAAATTGGGGGGAGGGGGGGGGGGCAGTGGCCTATCCAA